TAACTGCTTTGGTTTTGTTTTGGTCTAGGAACCACTCAAGGGTCATGTGCTGAATGTAGTTGCCGTTTCTTTTAGGTTTCCTTTATTCCAGAATGAGTCCCCACTCTTTTCCAGTCCATTGGCAGTTGTTTTCAGAATGCCCCTCCATTTGGATTTGCCTGATTGCTTCGCCCCTTCATTTGGAGGGCACATCTGTTCTCTGAAGGAAGGGCAACTGGGGCCAGGGATCACCATCCAGACATTACCTTCTCAAGGGGATTAATCTGTCATTTAAAAAATACATATTTACCAAATTCTCACTTTTATTTTGAATATTTCAAAATTTGTCCAGTGAAAATTATTGTACTCAAACACTGTTTTTGTTACAGTTAATATTTTTCTGGAGGCAGCTTAGCATATTTTCCCAGTACTTTATGTCTATAGACCGCAGAAATTATTACTAAAACTAACGTTAAAAAAAACTAACATTAAGTAATGTATACATGATAGCAGAGAGGAATTAAAACTTAGGAACTTGTTAGAAAGTGGAAGCAACTTGAAAGAGTAGGAAGCATTTAGCTCCTCAAACTAGATGTGCTTGTTAGCTCTATCAACTTTAGTCAAATTCTCTGCTTCTCCAAGCCTCAGCTAGCTGTTTGAACTATAAAATACACAAATCGAAATGAGCAAATGTTTTCCTGTACTGTAAACAAAAGCCATTTTCTCCCTGAGGACTTTGTGTTTCAGAAAGACTATCTTCTCAGTAAGCTCTGTTTATTATTTGAATCACTTTCCTCCCTTTTGTATTCATCAAAAACTCTTACCATGCCGTTCATTCCTTGTAATAATTGCAAAATAGCCTCTACTGAATTGACATAATTATGCCAAAAAAACGAATCAATGCAAAACGTGTAGTTTGCTTTTGCCACTCCATCACCATTGAAGCTGTATTTCCCGTGGGGGTGTTTATTCCTGTTCACTTCTGGATTCCCATTTGTGTTACTGTGAATTGGCCACTTCAGATGAGCCAGGATTTGAGCTCTTCTTGAGTCCAGCCAGTGTTTGAGAATGCCCCTGCCACGTGTTCTCATTGCAAGTGTGTCTTTGTGCATGTGGAGAGCCCAACAGAACTATGCTCCCCGTCCCTGTGGGTGCTGACAGTGAGATAGAAACTGAGTTAGGATTTATGGTTTGACCCAACACCACAGGAACGGTAAAATCCAGAAGCAAACAAATAAATTCAGACGAAATTTTTTCCTTCAAGTAGGAGCACTGTTTTCACCTCTGAACCCTTGTAGCGATTCTGAGCAAAGCCATTTAATACCTTTCAAATAGATTTTCCACTGCTTTTTTGATGACACTTATTCCTCTATATTTATTAGCAGCTCTGAAGTCCTGCTCAACAAAACGAAGCCTCGCTGGGGTTTGCTACCTGTGTATCCCAAATAAGAGCCAGGAATGATCAACCTCTATTAACAGTGCTCTTACTGAATGTCTGCCACCCTTTTAAAAACAATCTAAATTTTTTTTTTTTTTTTACGCTAAGGCTGTTTCTAACCTTATCTCTCGAATTTGTCAGCCTAAAATTACTGCTTAGGAAGCTCTCCCTTCTATCTCATAAATGTCTGACCTATTTCCCATGTTCCAGTATTTCAGAGCCTCACTGTCGTGTTCTACAGCCGTCTCCTATAAATGGTGTTAAATACCATATTATAACATTTCAGTGTCAAAAAATCAAGAGGCTTTTTTTTTTTAGCTTTCATAATCCTTACTGTTGCAAAGAATGAAATGTTGGCAAGAGTAGAGGAAGGGAGCTGAGTGCCTGGGGAATGAAATATATGAAAGTTTCACTGGAGCAAAGATTTTTGCTTCTTAAGGTTTCATATTAGACTATACATTACAAAGCTCCACTGCAAGTTTTTCCTTCTCCAGTGTATCTGAGGTTTTAAGTTTCTGGATTTATTATGGCACCCAGTAGCAAAGCTGGAGTCAAGTGTTTTCAAGGCTTCCATTAGAAATTCCTCCTTCGGAGTTTATTGCTTGACTGTTTCAAATTATATGAGAGAAACTTGGCCCACAGGTTGTGGAGCTGGATGACTTTTTTCCAACATAAAATCTAATTTATTTTAGTTTGCTTTTAATCTAGAGATAGGCTAGCAACTCTTCTCATAATTTAGGATATTTGATCATAATTCTAATCATATCCTGAAAAAAAAAAGAGTGAAAGAAACTGCTTTTTCCCAAGTTACTTGCTCATAGTTTTTTTTTTCCCAAAGCCTTGTTGAAAATTGGGAGAAATTAATTTTTACATAGCACTTAATTAGTGTGCTTAATATCTGCTTGCAAATCATTTCATCGTGTATAATGCAGCATTGTATAAACTGGTGCATCTCTGTCAGTTCGTCTGATTGTTTTTCCCATGCATTCTCTCTATCCCATTGTCATCCTTATGAGAATTTGCTGTTCTTCTCAAGGGTAGAGAAGAGGGCAGAAAAATACTATGTTGAAGTAGTTTAAAATATTGTTCACAGGGCAGGTGGTTAACCTAGTGGTTAAAGACACAGGTAGAACCGTTGTGCTCCATACTGGAGTGCTTTGGTCCCATGCCTAGCTCTGGCTCTTGATTGCGGCTTCCTGCCAGTACACACACACCTTGTGAGGTAGTGATGGAGGGAGGCTAAAATACTTGAGTTCCAGCCCCTCTCTGGGAGAGCTGCTCGAGTTCCTGGCTCCTGGCTCCAGCCCAAATCTAACCTGGCCATTGATGATATAGGTGTGAACTTGTACTCAGAGGAGCTTTCTCTCTCTCTCACTCATTCTCTGTCTCATTCTCACAGTCCTACTCAAAAAACAAATCACAACAAAATGACAAAACTCCATACATCTAACCCTCTGTTCTTCAAGAGAGACCAACACGTAGTGCTAGGACCAGCCACTTCCCAGCGACCGTAACTGCATCTTTCTCATACTCCTTGTTATCTTGTCCTAACGTTTCCTCTCCTCCTTCTGTCACTTCCAGCCATATTGTTCTCCCATTTTTCATCTATGGAAAAATACTTTTTACTTGTCGGGCTGACTGTGGTTTTCCTTGTACACCTTCTTAAAAGCCAAAGCATGTTCATCACATTGCTGGTTTTTAACTTTGTCAGTGTGTTTTGTATCTCTGAAGACACTTTTAAACAAGCTTCCTTTTCTTCTCACTACTGCACTGAAAAAATATGCAATCGTGATGATAACTATTACATATGCAGTCCCTAAAACTCGTATGAAAAAATTATTATGAAGGTTTCACATCTGTGCAGAATACGTGTGCTCCATCGTAAACACATCATTATTACTATTATGTGCTTTGTAAATATTGCTTTCGCTGCATTTATGCTTACTTGTTGTGTATTATGAGTATCTCTATGAAGTTATTTGTCACTTTCTTAACAATGTGTTAAAAATTTAAACTCCAAGGAATTTAAGATTGTATTCAAGCAGGCATCTAGTGATTAAAGCAATGTAAGCTTTGAAAATGTTTATCTTAACAAAAAAAAAATTCAAACTTAAAACCTAGTAAGTAATACTTATTCAAAATATCTTAATCATCTTGAAAACACTAACATAAGATAAATATCAAAGAGAAGAGAAGATTTTCAGTTCCTCAGTCGCATCCTCTTCCTGCATATCGCCATTCTAGGGAAAAGGAGTAAATTATGTTTCTGCTTCTAAATATGAAAAATATGTTTTCTCCTAATATTATACATGTATGCCTCTGTGTGTATGCGTATGTGTGTGTATGTGTGTGTTAAGTGAACCAAGACAGTCCTTGGGGAACAATAGTAAATGCACTGTTGAGTATGTGCTCAGAACTACCAGAGAACACATTCAGTCCCATAATTATTTTAACATTGTGTTAAGACTGTACCCTGGGCCAGATCCAGGCCCTTGGACTTGTTTATCTTCTGTGTGAGGACAACTAACTGTCCAAAGCCAAAATACAATGAACTTTCAAATATCAAAGAGGAAAATTAAGTATTTCAAGTCCTCAGCTGGCTTACAGATGTGTGAGCTTTGTAGTCCAGTTTCTGGTTCCAGTAGGGCATTGTGACAATTTTTCCAATATGTGTACACTAGATAAGTTTTGAAGTAAAATCACTTACTTTATAACTGAATTAATTTCTAAACTTACACTTTTTATAGTTATTTCTCTTAAAAAGATGTCCAACAGCAAACTTTGTAATTTAAAAACCCTTTTAATGTAAAACATCAAATTAAGGAATTTTTCTATCAAGAAAGTAAATATACTTTGAAAACAGGTATTCATTTAGATCTGTGATTAACCTTTAACGAGATCTTCCTGTTAAATTCTATATTTGCTTTAATCTCAGTAGGAAAAATACAAAATAGTATTGCTGCATATAGAGTTTCTGTATACCCTATGGACATCAAATGATCTCTTACAGCTAAAGGCACATCTGCAACATATTTAAATGCCAGCTTTGGGTATTATTAGTATAAAATGCTAAGTCACTTTTTTTTTGGAAAATATTTTGAAAAGTTTAAACTCCAAAAAGAAACTCCAATAAATGATAATCTTATGATACCATTTAGTTCAAGGGAGTGGTGGGAAAATGAATGACCATATTGCATATTTTCCATTTGGGGAAAAAATAGCATGATAATCCTCCTTAAAATAAACGAAATTCTGGTTGTAGACCCATGTCTCCTGCTTAAAAAATGGAAGTGTTCTTATACCACCTTTCAAGACGCTCCAAGATGAGTTGGACTTCATGTTATCAATTGTAGCCATAGCATCCAGCTTAGGGCTTCTGTCATTAAGTTTGTGAGAATTCAGCAATGATTATTGGTTGCATTTAAATATCTGTGTTTACCATAGTCCAGAATCTCAGTAACAAATGCATAAATATTTTCTAGATAATAGTAATTGAAATTTTTTATTATGCCATAGAGTTTTTTCTCCTGCATAGTTTATTTCTGTCTCACTTTTTCTCTTATGTTTTAATGCAACTTTGAAGGTCAACTATTCGAGACAATGTAGAAATGATTAAGCTTCATAAACAACTGGTGGAGAAAAGCAATGCTCTTTCAGTAATGGAAGGAAAATTTATCCAGCTTCAAGAGGTACAGTGGTGATTTATTGTTATGACAAAACATAAATGGAAAAAATCAAAAATGCAAGCTGTATTTTTTAAAAAGTATGATCACAGCTAAAATTTTTAAAGAATGCTGTTTTTATTCTCAAATCTACACTTCACTTTGTGTTTCATTCATTATTTGTGCTAATTACGAACTGAACTAACTAAACTTTGTAGTTTTTTGGTATCTTAAACGCATTTATCACTTGCCAAAAATATTATTCTTAACTCCTTTTGTTCTGAATTCATTATGAGCATACTGCACTGAAAATTTTGCTATATTTGTATGTAGTTTCACCCCTCAGCATTCATAACCAACATTGGGGCAGTAATCATGTGTTTTGATTTTGAATTTTTTTTTAAATCTGTGCCATTATCAGAAAATTGTAACATACCGGTAATGTCAACTCTAGGCGTTTTCGCTTTAACCCCTCACAAACCACGTCTGGCCGTGCTCAGGATTCCTCCCCCTTTCAGCTGTTTCAACAAGGACCATGGCCCCACAGCGTTTCAGCAGAGGGTTCCCATTTATTAACACTGCAGAGTTAACATCAACTCTAGTATTAATGAAATTCAAACCATTCCAGATAAGCAAAAAGCCAAGTACTTTGCTTTGAAGTACTGAGACAAGGAAAGTAGCCAATGATATAAAATAAGGGGGTCATCTGATGCCTACACTATTTTTTTTTATTTTTCACATTTTATTATTATTGCTATCATTTTACGATCCAGTTCCATATTCCCCTGTCCCCTCCCCAATTCCCTCCCCCCCCCCAGTTCCTTTATATCATTACTTCATACTCAGTCATATGTTCATCATTGCGGGCATGGACAATGGCAGAGAGTCCAGAATTACACTAACTATTGGAAGAGTTCAATACTGTGCAGCTATGCTCTGGCTGGTGGCATCCATCCTGCTGGAACCTCCTCAGATGCCAAGGAACAAATACATCCCATATCCACGTGAGGGTCTGTGGAAAAGGAGACTGACGAGACAGTGGTAGAACTGTCTGCAGGTAGACGAAAAAAACTGAAACACAAGTATTGAAAGCCATTTCCAAAAGGAGAAATTAAGGAACGAATGGAATAGTGGTTTTGTACTCTTTTATCCACTTAAATTGTCTTGATTTTCTAACCCTCCCCCTCCCAGAGTTTGTTTTAATATCAGTAATAACTGCTGCAGTCCAGGTACAGTGCTCTTGGGAATTAACATAGGGTGGAGATTTGAGAGGATAAAAGCTTACAGCCACAGTGAAATGGAAAGTTCAGAAAAAACTGGCTGAAGAGAGTGTTCTGTAATAATGCCAAGATTAATGAAAATGGACCTGAAGTAGCTTAAATGAATGTGAAAGTAGCTACTTGAATTACTGGAGTTAGTAGTTGAGGCATTAAATGTTGTGGTCATATGATATTTATGAAAAGACGTACTGCCTTTTTATGTAAAAAAAAGGTATGCAGGGCCTAGCGTGGTAGCCTTGTGGCTAAAGTATTTGCCTTGCCATACATGCTTTAGTATCCCATATGAGTGCCAGTTTATATCCCGGCTGTTCGACTTCCCATCCAGCTCCCTGCTTGCTGCTTGGGAAGGCAGTCAAGGATGGCCTAGAGCCTTGGGACCAGCACTTATGTGGGAGAAGCAGAAGAAGCTCCTCGCTCCTGGCCTCAGATGGGCTCAGCTCTGGCCATTGCAGCCACTTGGGGAGTTAATCACAGATAGAAGATGTTCCTGTCTCTACTCCTCTCTGTATATCTGACTTTCCAATAAAAATGAAAAAAATATTTTTTAAAAAAGAGGTTCAGGGCATTAAAATTTTATTTTATTTTATTTTATTTATTTAATTTTATTAACACATGTGCAGTCTTTTAAGATTGACAAGAGTTTGTAACGATTGTACTTCATTAAAAATCTTCACTGAATTAAAGTTTAAACCTACCTCTTCTAAGGCTGTTTTTATGGAGCAGTACCGAATCCTTTCAGTTCAAGTATCTGGTCAGTATTTTTAACCCATAATACAGCATTTTTAGAAAGCATGTCCAACTGTAACCATAGCAACAAGGGAAAAAAAATAATTGCTAAAGCTAATTTATTTATTGGCCATTATCAACAGTTAAAAAGTCTGAGGAAATAAAGGACAGGTACAGTTTGCCTTATGTGACTATGAAATAGGCCTGTCTGAGGGATTTTCCAAAGGCTCATGAAAGATGTGTATAATGAAAGAAGCTCTACATGAATTACAGAAATGCTTTGTATCAAAGTAAACTTGTTAACTTTTTGAAATGCCCTCATACTTTCCTCCTTGTTTCACGTTGGGTGAGTACATATCTATAGAAAATACAGTATACTTTGTGACGTGAAAAATAGATTGTACAATGTGAAATTGCATAAGTTCATTTACTAGATTGCAATCATTAACTCAAAGCTTAATCCGAAAATAGTATCTGGAAGATTTTCTTGTTTTTTTTTTTTTTTTTAGAAGCAAAGAACTCTCAGGATTAGCCATGACGCTCTGATGGCAAATGGAGATGAGCTAAATATGCAGCTTAAAGAGCAGCGTTTAAAATGCTGCAGTCTGGAGAAACAACTGCATTCCATGACGTTTACCGAAAGAAGGATGGAAGAGGTAAGCTCCCGAAGAGCTAAGCCAGCTGTTGCATTAAAACTTCTCGGTGGATGCTTTGGAGAAGTAAAATACACATTTCAAATAGCACTTTTATTTTAGATTCCTAAGCTATCTCCGAAGATATTTCAGAAGGTTCATGGGGAAAATTGAATTAAAAGTTTATTTTGGTGCAAAAATGTCTAAAGCTTACACAGTTTTTCATAACACACATTTACTATGTCTCTTCTCAAGCCCCCTCATATGCTGGGTATTAGGTACAACAGAATATGGCCATTAATGGCAGGTCAGTGCCAGTAACACCTGTAAATGAACTTAGATCCAGTATTTATCTGAAGAATTAAAGATCCTTAAGTGTAAATAAAATCTATAGCATTCTGAAACTGACACCAGATTAACTTGTGGAACCATGGAACTTAACTTTCTCAACGTTCGCAGTTTGTTTTTTAGCCATTTGAGACAAACAAAACAAAATTACAGGAATATATTTCTGAGGAGATGGATGTTAGATTCTGTTTGGTGAAATTATCTATTTTTTCCCAGAAAGTTGTTAAAAACTTTTCGTATAATGGTTGCTACTCATGTCTCCCAGCTAGTTTATTCTTTTTCTGTATCCTGTCAGACTCGTTTCTCAGGAGAATAGAAATGAAAGCACTTGCTTACACTCTGTTCAGATCGTGGGAGAATCTTTTTCTGTTAACTAGCATCAGAAAAGAATTCTGAGAGTGAAGGTGAATTTTCAGAATACTGTGATGCATAGGAAAAAAAATTTATCACAAAATATACTAAAAATGAACACAATTTTAAAGTAAAAATAAAATGAATTCTGGAATACAGAATTGCATAAAGATGTTGTAATTATCTCAAACTACTATTCATGGAGATCAAATGAGGTGTATAATTTTTTATTTATTAGTTCTTTCGTAAGATGTGTGCCATGGACTATTTGTAAATTTTAGGTGATGTGGGAAATTGTGTCTTGAAAGCAAATAGTGATTGACACAATTTGCTTGAACCATGCACTTAAAGAGAAGTTAATCCTCTTATTTTTTTATGGGCCAATTGAAAATTAATACAAAATGAATATAATGATATAATTCATCTTGGTAGAAACAAGAAACTATTATGTTTTCAAGGACTTAACAGCAAGCTCTTAACACATTCTTTATTTAGCCCTGGCACATGTTACCATAAAGCAGTGCATTCGTTCTTACTAAGTTAAAGCAGAAATATTAATTTCATATTTATTTAACAACTTGAAAAAATTCAAGGCAGAATTAAACGCAGACGGTGTAAGTGGTGCCGTTAACAGCTGCAATTTGAAATCCAGACCAAAGCTGGTGTCATCTTTTCATGTTTTTCATGACCCCCATGTAGTTTTATACGACACTCACCTAATGTGTAATTCTCTTTTCATTTTAGCTGCAGGATAGAATTAATGATTTAGAAAAGGAACGGGAACTTTTAAAGGAAAACTATGATAAGCTTTACAACAGGTAAATCCTGACTCCATGTGTTTCTTGTTTGAACTCTTAATATCAAAGCATTTGTTGTCTGAATATCTAGTATCGATTAACAGCAGAGGATAGCAAAGCACATGTTTGTGTAAGACATTGTGTAAGCTTGTCACCCGAAGCAGTGGTCTGTCACTGCTTAAAAAACCGTCTCCCTGTGTTGCCAGGAGAGGCTGTCATTTTTGGAATGCAGACTGTATTTACAGACCCTGAGCTCAGCATCCATAGTTGGGAATTACTCACAACACCTTGAAATACAGGTATTGTGACTGTGTGAGTGCCCACTTTGCAGACAGCAGAATCAAAATAGAATCAAACGTCGAGCTCGTGTTTGAACCTCTCTGGGGCTCACCACTGTTCCCAGCTGGCAGTAATTCTGACGGAAGCACGGGTCTTCAGCTGAGAGTCCCCCTGTCCTTATAACGACAGAGACGAGGCAACGTGCTTGTCTTACTCTCAAGACGAATTTTAAGTGGCTCCCTCCGTTTCATTTCTTAACTGGCTTCATAATTGTGAAGTTTTAGAAATTAGTCACTTCTGGTAATGTTACAAACTTCTACTCCACAGCTAAGTAATAAAGGTGTCAGGTGTGTATGATATTGAAAGTCTTTTTTAAGACATGATCTTGATAAATTATAAATTATGACCTTGATAAATTATAAAACATATGAAAGTAAATTTCATATTTTTAATGTATCGTGCTACAACTGAAATTCAGCAGTTTCTTCTGTTGATCACATAAAGAAATTTCAGAAAATAACCCTCTAAACTACACATAGTTAGCATTTCAACTGTATGTGTTAGGTTTTATAAATTAAATTTATCTTTTTGTAAGCTAACCAAATCACCCCTTAGAGTGTGAGAATAAGCTTTCCTTTTGTTTTTCTTTGTGTCACCTGAGTTAATGTTAGGCGTTATTATCATTACACTGATTTCTGTCATCTGTGTTATTTACCTACTACTGTTGAACGTCTTTGCACTTAAATTAAGGGTGAGCAACAACAGGTTGAGATGCCAGTTAAAACACTAGTCCGGAACCCCACAGTGGTGGAATGGCTGGGAGTGTTTACATGGACTTTGCCTTTATACTCCTTCTAGATCGTTTAGACCCACTTTTTAATCCTGGTCGTTTTTCCCATCAATTCTGATTAATTTTACTCAAACTGTTTGTTATATATCCTGTTTAATATTTCTATGTCTATAAAATTAATACATAGATCTATTCTGGAATACATCTGAGTGTTCAGTTAATACGTGTATGAAAATTCAAACGTCTGTTTACAGCTGGAATGGCATCATATTAGGCGGCAGAGATAATATCCCCCCCCATATCTTATCAGTAAAGGAATTGAAATTCTGAAAGAATTGACTTGTGCAGAGTCATACTGATGAGACTCCTACTGAGAAATAAACCCAGTGCTTTTGACTCCAGATTTTGAATTTTTCCCATATGCCTCACTATCTCTGATTTTAATTGCATTTGAAAATTGTAGAGATGAAAGGGGAAAATCATGGAATAATGGAGCTGTCAGACATTCAGGTACTGATTTACATTCATCCTCAACATCTTGTAATTTCAAGTAATTTAACATGGCCTAAACACTCTTGTAAGAAACTAAGTGACATTTGGCTATTACTTTTAACTTTTCTACATCTCTTCAATTTGGGAATTTCCTGAACATACTGTCCGGGAATTAACAAAACATGAAACTTAGCTTGAGAATAATGCAAGAATGGAATTTTGACATGTTTTTCTCATACTTACTTAATCACCATAAAACTTTATCTTTCCATGTTAGAAGATGATCTAAGAGTGTAAAGCTGGCTTTGAAGGAGATTTTTTTCTTGTTTTAGTACATTATACTTAAGCTACATGGTTTTGTTCACGATAAACACAGACCTCAGTATGCTGCTTCTACTGGAAGTCGATTGAGGTATGTGAAGTGTATATACGTAATGGATGTTGAAATATTTAATGCCAAAAAACATGAATACCACTGAAGCACAAAACCCAGCAGGCACACATGATAGTAAATGGAACTATAAAATTCTTAAATGTGATTTCTACGAGAATGCATGCTTTCAGATTCCTAGTGGGACAAACTACAGAAGTCAGCATCTTGTCTGAGATGCTTTTGTTTTGTAGCGCTGTTTTTCGTCATTTACAACTAATTCTTATGAAGAACTACATATACTCCCTGTTACTCAAAATTGGCTAGTTTTCAGGAGAAACAATATGATTTACAGATTGCATTCGCATCTTCCTTTCTGAAATGAAACTTTGAATGTGTTTCTTACTTAACGTATGACATATTGAAGAATCATGTGGCAAGATAAAACCCTCATGTTAGGATTTGGTATGAGCCTTTTTAATATGCTGAAACATTTCTGACACAATGCCATGAAGTAAAATACAACTAAGAAATGTTCAAATTACAAGTTCCAAGAAAGAATTTTTTTTTTTTTGCTATTAAATCTTTCTTTTTGTGCAGAAAGAAAACTGTACTGTAATATGACAGAGCTGTGTCCCGTGTTTAATATGTGACCCTGTGACTTGATCAACAGTGCACAGTGCAGTGGTCCTTCAACTCTAATGTACACGAGCGTTGTGGAAAGCTAGCAAAGTGGAGGTTTCCCTCAGAGACCCCTCTCACCTGTCCCACCTGTCTGCCTCTCCCCACCGTCCTGCTGCAGTTCAGTCTGTTTGCATTTGAGCCGCAAAATCTACTGGCAATTATCTAAAGACATTGATTGTTTGAAGATGACTGATCCAATGCCTGTTTTTAAACCGTGTCCATATAGTTTTAGAAGTATTAACCCTTTTAAGAAATGGATGGTCAGCTAATAATCAGTGTACTGCTTCCAACCCATAGACCCTACTCAGTTTCTGGAAAATGAACATCTAACCCCTGCAGAATTCTAGGAAACAGGAGAGCTCATGTGATAGAGTGCTGCCCAGAAATCAAACTCTGTCTGGGGCATCATTTCCTTCGGGAAATAAACCCATCCTGATGTAAATAGGTATTGAATTTTCATTATTCTCAACTGAAGTAGCTGTGGATTACTTTTTGGATGATTTAAAGTTTCTTATTCCCTAATTTTATACATATATATATATATGTGTGTGTGTATATATATATATATATAATAATGCCCTGGAAGAAATAGAATTTATTTTGTAGGAAAAAAGACCTAAGAGGAGAGACAAATTCTTTTTTTAGTCTTATCATGTTTTTGATCCAGTACACAAACCCAGGGCTGCCATGGACATGCCAGTGACCACAGGCACCAGCGGGCACTTCTTTGCAGACTGACATATCACCGCTCTTAACAACATAATGTGACAGTGAAATGTATACAATAACCAACCATCATCCCCCCTCAGTTGTCACTACAGGCAGTGCACAAAAAGATTTTCATGAATAAAAAGTTCTCTAAGACTGTTCTCATATGCAGATTTAATCATGTACACAGCCCTTACAAAGCAAATGGAGCCAGATGTGGTTCACCATTGATAGTTACACAGATGGCTCCAAGCATATGAGTTCATGAGGAATTCCTCATGAAACTCCAGTGGAATGTAATCCTAAATTTAGAGGGAAGATAGCAGTGGACTAAATTCAGATTGACTTACGCTGATTTACACTAGTATTTTGTGGCTTTGGAAAAACCAGGCTGCTAAATTGTTCTTAATTTAAACACATACAGTTTCTGATGTTTCTGCCAGATTAGCTGTTGGTGATCTTTATGCTGGGACTAATGCTATTGGAACACTACTGTTTCTAATTTTTGGCATCTGATATAATGGATAGCTGTACCTATTTCATCATGCTAATTTTCTCTGGATGGTTCATGTTTTTAATAATGCAGCACACACACATGCATATGAGCGCGTTCGTGCTCATAGCGTGCGTGTTTGATAAATATAACTTGGAGAGACACAGAAATTATATTCGCTCTTTATTTTTAAGCAAACGTAAAGAAATACATTTTTAGTTTAGAATAGAAAGCATATATTTTGTTTGGACTTCATTTAAACTGAGGTAATTGTAGCTTTGATAAAATTGACTTAAACTCTTGGTATATGGGATCCATGTACTTTTTTAAGTTTCCATATGTGAACTAAGAACACTGGTAGGAGAGACAGATGTCATATTGAGAGGAGCTTCTAGGATTCCATTTATTTTCAAGGTCATGTTATGTTAAATGCAGTAAAAATATTCAAAATGTGAAATGAATACATAGTTTGGCTCTTCGAAAGCTGTGTCCCCCAGAATAGTATCTCTTTTGGAACAAGACCCCATGACTAGCTAGGAGCAATATTAAGGGCAATTTTCAGTAATATGTTTGTCCTCCATTTAGTTCATCATCAGTATAAAACCAAATTTTTATAAATTTTGTTTCCCTTGCTGGATTTAAAATAAGCACAAGGATCAAAGGTGTTGATGCTTTTTCAGCCATATCCAGCTTCCTAATGGTTTTCTGCTGAAATGCATAGAAAGAGCGAATTTAAGAAAAGAAAAAAACTATCACCCCAGGGAGCTCTGTAAAAATATCAGGTTGTGAGCCGGGGATCTTGGTTTTCAAATCCAGGAGTCAACAGCTCAACTAGCCTAGCACCGGAGTTCACAGCAGTATTTAGGAACCATCCCCATAAACAAATGATGTAAATAGGTATTTATTGTCTACCTTCTGTTACTTTCTTTTTCTAAGGGATTCTTCCTCCCAGTGTGCTGGGTCTTGGTCATTAGCAGATTTTGTTTCACATGAACGAGCTTGTTATCATTCTCATGCTTCCTGGAGGAAGGCACGTAGCCAGGGGTCCAGGCCTCCGTCTGGGAGCTGCTGACGTGCTGCAGGAGTCACCTCCAGCAGCCAGCGGAAGCACAGGAACAGCTGGGGACCATTTTGAACAAGTTGAAGTTAGAGGTCCAAAAGAAGAGAGAAAGGTTGTGGGACCCAGTAGGAAATGTGTTGTCGAACATGAGCAAGTTTTAAATGTCGTTTTATTGAAAAGTGGCAATTCTAATCCATCATTCCTTTCGGGCACAGGGTATTGATAGTCTACCCCTCCACGTGTGACAAATAGAATTGTTTGTTCTTAACCTATTTCCTTTGGCTTTTTAGAACAAAAAACTGCATTCTCACTACTTCTTAATTAGTATCAGAATTGCTGCCTTGTGATGTAGTTATGCTATCACTTTGTGGCCAGTGTGTTGTGCGTATGTTATTATCACAGATGCTTTAAAAGTCTCACGGAATTAAAAGATTGGGTGGAAAGCACATTTTCTCTGTTAAGAGAGGGTTTCTAAGTGGGAGAGGACGGTTTTGTCCCGTGTCAGTTGCTGAGGTTTGGGAATTGTGGATTCCTCTGGAGTATGTGCACTATCTGAATTCCTTTCCTAGTCCCACAAAAGCTGCACACTGCCAACTTTTCTGACTTGAGAGCTCTAAATTAAGGCCAGTTCCTCTGCTCATCCCACAAACTCTTTCATGTTGCCTAACCGCAGCCTGAGAAAGGCGCCTTGGTTTCAACAGCAGCAGACCAGCATATGTTTACTTAATTCCTAAGACATGATGACAGTGGTCTCTGTGCCACTAAAAGCTTTTCTCTTTATTATTTTCGGTTGAAGCTGACTTCCAAGCTCTCCCTGCGTGTCACGTGTGTTTTGCAGTGCCTTCAGTGCTGCCCACGAAGAGCAGTGGAAGTCAAAGGAACAGCAGCTCAAAGTGCAGATTGCTCAGCTCGAGACTGCCTTGAAATCTGATTTAACAGAGAAAACCGAAATCCTTGACAGACTGAAAACGGAAAGAGGTATATGTACACTAGATGCTGACTGACTTATCTCAGCATCTACCGTCTGTTCCCCGAGCTGTTTGTCACTCTCCCCAGCTGAGGACCACACTGTCAGGTAACAGCCATCCACGCTCAAGCGTGCGTTTGGTTAATGCTTCGAACGGCCTTGGCTCAGCCCTGCGTGTCTGCCACGGGATGGTTTGTCAGAGTTGCTCTTGCTCACATTGTCTTCAATCTGTCTAATTTTCCTGAATACTGAGCCTTCCTTTACGCATCCCTCAACAAGGATTCCTTGAGAACTAGTTTGTGCTAGGAGCTTCTGTAAGTTCTGGGGGCGCAGCAATGAAAACAGTCAAAACCTTGCCCTGAGGAATCATAAAGGTCTCAGGGGACAAGCTGACCCTGATTAAATAAACATGTGCTATGTCGGGGTAAGCATCGTGAGACAGCGGAATGGCAGCAGCAGTTGCTGGCCCTCTGGGATAGAATTGGACGAGAAAGACCTCTCCCATACTGAGCTGTCCCATTCACTTCTCAGCCACGACCTGAAATACTGGGAAAGCTCAGCAAAAAGTGCTGCTAAAAATAATCCTCAATAATACATTTTGTGTTTAAGTAACAAATCTCATCTCTTTTGTCTCCTAAAATAATTATAACAGCGTCTGAATCACCACATCACTCACACTTGCATATATTGCATATACATTATTCACAGTGCACAATAGAAAAATGAATCATCTGTTTCATGTTTGCTCATCCCTTGGATAAACCAAGTAATGGGAACATAATGTTGCTTCTTTTGAACATTTGCAATTCAGCTCCATGAGAATGTTTAAAAATGTAATATGACTCAGTAAAAATAAAAATTATGTTTTCAGTTAGTACTCATATATTTCTTTAGATCATAATGCCATATTTCATTGACTAAAAGAAATGTTATTTTTTCACATGTTAGCATCTCTAAAAATAGGATCATCCTGCATATGATAGCATTTTAAAATTGAAGTTCGACATTTTTTTGCATTTTAATGTCTTTAGTTGGGACTTAGATTCAATCTATTCTTTTTTTTTTAAAGATTTATTTTATTTTTGTTGCGAACTCAGATATTCAAAGAGAGGGAGAGACAGAGAGGAAGATCTTCCATCCATTGATTCACTCCCCAAGCAGCCACAATGGCCGGAGCTGAGCCAATCCGAAGCCAGGAGCCAGGACAGAGCCTCTTCCTGGTCTCCCACACAGGTGCACGGTCCCAATGCTTTGGGCTGTCCTCACCTGCTTTCCCAGGCCGCAGGCAGGGAGCTGGATGGGAAGCGAGGCTGCAGGGGCTAGAATTGGTGCCCATATATCGAGGCTGCAGGGGCTAGAATTTGTGCCCATATATGGGATCCCGATGTGTGCAAGGTGGAAACTTTAGCCACCAGGCCACACCCTCAATCTAATCTTAATTTCAATGAAATGCTCTAGTACTGTGTTCCCTTATCAAATGATTTAATTTGATGACAGACTGTTTATGTGTTTCTTGTCTAGAAATTTTTAAGTAAAATAAAATAGCAATATATTTTCTCACCTGGTGGTTATTTAAGCATTGTAATACCAGAAATTTACATGATTTCTGGTTTTAATATGCAGTACTGACTTGCTAACACTTAGTACTTGCTCAGAAAATTCTTGTCACTGGTGGAAGTGGAAGTACTCTCCTTTGCCAGTAAAGATAGGGTATTCATTTTTCAAGGAAAAAGAAAGAAAATAAGCCTTTTTTCTTTCTATACTCTGTATTCCCTTAGGTGTCAACAGTCCCCAAAGTGTTTTTCTGAATTGCTCTCTGGACAGAAACTCTTCTTAAAGGAACGAAATATGGGGATTTGTGTTTGCATCATTGTTGTTATGAGACATTTTTGAGAGTTATTTGTTAAGTATTATGATTACCAAGGTATTAATGACTAGTTTACCTATACCATTACTTATCTCTCGCTTTCTCTTTTTTTTTTTTTCTACTGGTTCTTATATCTTGGGGGGATTTTAAAACATTCCAGAAACCACCCAGTCCCACAGCTCTCAAGGTAATCCCAACTGGTGTTTCCACATGTATAGATACCGTTTTGTAATGTGCCTTTTTATTTATGATACTGGGAAATCGCTCATTGAGCGTAACTATAAATCTGCATCATCATCGCTCATAATGCCTGTGACGGTTTCCCAGTGTGGGATGTAACTGATTACTTAGCAATCTCCTGATGAATTTCTAAGTAACTTCAGTTTTGAGTACTATGAGCAGTATCTTTCTACACATCCACGCATTTGTTTTCTAAGGAAAAACTACTAGAACCAAATCTTATATTTTCTAAATGCAACCTATTTTCTGGTCGTTTTTTGCCGAGATACCTCAAATTTACAAGTTCAGTATTTTAAGTTTTTGTTTTTATGTAATAATAATAATAATAAAGTAACAATAGGTCATAAGAAAAATATCATAACCTTTAACAGTTTTTTTTCATAGGGAAATAATAAAAAAAATCAAAATCATCTCTGTCTCTCCTCTCTGTATATCCGCCTTTCCAATAAAAAAAAAATAATAAAAATAAATCTTTAAAAAAAAATCATCTATTTAAAGGAATCTTTTAATGTTTAGAAAGTTCCTTTTTGCATGGCAGCTTTTGAAACTGTTTAATTTTGCTTTGAAGTCTCTTCACACATTCACCTTTTCATGTATCAAGTGTTCTTTGCCAGAAGAGATTTCCCTGGCTCCTTGTAGTCATTCATCTAACTGGCAAATTATTTTTAGAGAAGACTCACCTCTTTATTCAAGGTACAAATTAGTTTCAGATTGTGTGAATATGTAGAGGAAGGATATGTAAATGCAGTTTGCATTTGGTTAATGCTTAAATTAACTGCATGTGTTTAAGGGCTTGCTTTTGAAAGTTCCTTTCTATCTTTAGCTGAAATGCATAATTCAGCATAGTGCATATGGTTATATTGATCACAGCTGAAGACATTAACACAAAGGCACTCTGAAAATTGTTTAGTTGAATTGTTCTCTGCACCCTGCTTATTAATAGTGTGCTGGAAGAACATCATTTTAAAAGAGTGAAATGTTATCTCACTCGAATAAAATGCTGTATAGCTTAACCTGCTTTTTGTCAAATCATAAGGTAAGGAGGTTAATGTTCATCTTGTACAACGTGCTCTGATTTTTCATATTACAATTCAGCAAGTCTATTTCCTCTTTGAGCTAAAAATGTATCTTTACTTTTTAAAGACCCAGGAGTTACATCCCCAATAAACATTTGGAGAAAGGAAAGATAATAGTTGATAGTTCTACATAAAATTAAGTGGAAGCAAGGTTACAGGGACGCAATAGTTTTTGCACTGATAAGACCCTTGTTTTTAAAAATGTGTGTGGATACATAGTTGTTGAAGCAAAAAAAAATCAATAAAGGGCAGAAACATGTAAACAAGTTTATTTATGCTTAATAGCGTATCATTCTTAGGAACCATGCTCTGAAAAAAACTGAAAGATCAGTAAATAGAAATAGAGCATAAAATACCGATCAAAGCATAATGTGTCTGGATTAAGATGGAGTAGTCGTGTTCTTTACACTTGACTTCATTCTTAGAAGCCCTGAAAGTTGCACTTACTTAGTTAATGAAATTATCCAGCTCTGTCTCAGTCAGCTTTGCTTTTCCATCCTCCTGACTAAATCCACCTACTTTGCATTGCATCACCATTAGGTATGGATATTGTTTAACCTAACCAACTATAAAATAAAGAGCCCTGGATTTTGATTCTATAATAAAGTTTTATGAGAATTCATATGTTATTAATCCCAGTTTTTCATTTAAAAACAAGTGTCTGATTTTTAACCTTCAGCATTTCCAGGTATTGTTCACATCTGGAAATCTTTTAGCTCACTAGATGTGAGCAGTATATCCTGCAGGGTAGCCTTGTAAGCTTCTATCGATAAGATAAAAATGTATTTTGTGTGTGTGTGTGTGTGTGAGAGAGAGAGAGAGAGAGAGAGAGAATAGGTGTCTCTGTATACCAAATGGTCACAAATCCATTTTTTTTAACTTTTTAGACCTTTTGGACATCTGTGACATTAAAACATACAAATTCATTCCATTCTTTTTAAACATTTTACTTTTTTAACTTCAATTTAGCATTTTTACTTTATGTAGTGATTATAGCTTGTGAACACAAAACCTCATAAGTCAGAAACACACTGACGTAAAATGCAGTCACTGTGCACATGCATTCATGAAGGAATTCCTGGCAGATGTGTGGATTTTTTTTTTCTTTTTAAGAAAAGGAAGCAAGAATGTACAATTTAAATCAAAGACTTGAATTGACTGCAGATACTGGGGATACCCTGGTTGAGAATTAGTCAGCCGTGGGTTCAGTGAGCTCTAGTGAAGGGTGCACACAAGAACGGGAGACCCAAGAGAGCAGTGGGTTTGGTAGCTGATTGTTACGCACCTTTTAGCAGAATTCAGCTTGTCTCATCCAAGGTGTGAAAAATTAGGCCCTGTGAGTCTCCTGCATTCTGTACACATGGCTTTATACTCCTGCTTGTGAGTCATGCTAATTACTGCCCAGGCAGACCTGTTCTATATCCATTCTTTCCTACCCTACTAATGAATGGCTTGAACTCAGTGAAGAAACACATGCACGCACACACATGCACACACACACATGCACACACACACGATTATCATCAGTACAACAGTTCACCAGTGGAAAATCCCAGTTCTCCCACCATAACAAGATTTATTGGAGGTGTGGCTGATCAAATCATGGATTTAGCATTTATCAGAGCTCTCATCTTGTTTTAATAAGGAAGACTTTATGGGGAAAAGAAAATGCAAAATCAATTAGAAAACTAAAAGACAAAAATTTTTCTTTGCATGCCTTTCAGGACCCTTAATAAGTAAGTAGAAATCAAAGATTTGGAAACATGTTCTTAGGCATTTTAAATAGAATGTTTCTTTGAAGTCCCAGAGGCCACAATTTCCTTGTATTAATGCTGTGAACTTCAGTCTTGAGTTTTTGATAAGTTAGTGATTCATATGGTACACACATGATGGTAGTCATTTGTTCCTCATTTCCCTGTTGCCTTTGTCTAGGGGATAGTTCAGTTTCCTCTCTGACCAAAACAGCACTAACCAAGCTTGGTGTGTAACAGAAATCTAATTCATTTAAAATGTGTGTGTTAGGCCTCATTGTCACTTAACCTTTCTAATTGAGTTGAATTTATTTTTTAAGACCAAAATGAAAAGCTCATGCAGGAGAACAGACAATTACAGTTACAGTATCTGGAACAGAAAGAAAAATTTGATGAACTTGAAAACCGCATGAAGTTTTACAATCAGGTGAATTATTTTCTTATTTAGAAAAAAAAAACCCAAAATTTTATTCATGGAGAAAATTTTATACTACAAAGCAAAAGAATAGCAGTATCTTGGTATGGTATCTGGTGGCTTATGTTTCATATTGTGAGTACAGTGGGAATGTCTTTGACCTGGTTTATTAATTCAAGGTTTCACAGGGTTATTAACCTCATCGGTTGTGGTTGTGCTTGCCTCTGATGCCTCAATGCGAGCTTTTACTTAATCTGTTGCAGGAGAGTGAAATTAATGTTGATGAACTGAGTGAAGCCCTCCTGCTTATCAAGGTAACTTTCTCAACTTCATGTCTGTGTGCAACCATGTCAGCGTAATGAGGGCGTTTTATCTGTGCCCCTTCTGTTTGGAAAATAAATTACCTGTACATCTTCTGATATTTATAGGTACTTCATGCGCATGTTTGTATGTCTAAGGGTATGCACATATGTATTGTGTCAGTTGATAGAGCATATGCTAGGTTTCATAATATCACAATTACATTAAAATGGAAATTGAGTATTTAAAGCACTTTACTTAAATATAGTGAACGTTTTGCTTATACCTGCCTCAAAATAAAACTGATCAACAATTTTCTTCCCCAGGAGAACTTACTATTGTTTCTTGTGGGTTTTTTTTTTCTTTTGCTATCTTAAGTACACTATTGAACTATAAATATAGTATGAAGGTGTTTTCCAATTCTGGAATATCATAAGATGACCACAGAAAAATATTCTTTTTTTCCCTTTAGATCGCAGTGTAGATTTCAGTCAAATGAAAGAATAAATTAATTTAATTTTTATAACCTAACATAAAAAAGTGTTTTTTTTTTTTAATTTCTCGGTAGTTGTACCACTTGTCTATTTAGACATACATTGTACTACCTTATTCCTGACGGGAAACTGGAAGTACTGCTGTTTCTTATGATTTTTTTTTTTTGCCACGTATATATTAATTAACACAGTCACATTTTATAAATTGTTTCATTAATAAAACATGCTTTATTTTAGGCTCAAAAAGAACAAAAAAATGGAGACCTTTCCTTTTTAGAGAAAGTAGACAATAAAAATCATAAGGATATAGAGCGCTCCATGAGAGAGTTACAAGCCACACACGCGGAAACAGTGCAAGAACTTGAGAAAACAAGAAACATGCTGATTCTGCAACACAAAATTAATAAAGACTATCAGGTGATGTTAAATACTAAATTGAGAGGGTGGGCTTTCTATAAAATGTACTGTTAAATTACTTTTCAAAATATTTATTATTTATTTGAAAGGCAGAGTTACAGAGAGAGCAAGAGAGATGGCTTCCATTCACTGATTCACTCCCCAAATGACCACAAGGGCCAGGGCTGGGCCAGGCCAAAGGCAGAAGCCAAGTGCTTCACCTAGGTCTCCAGATGGATGCAGGGGCCCAGTTACTTGGGCCGTCTTTTTTTTTTTTCCCAGATGCATTAGCAGGAAGCTGGATTAGAAGTGGAACAGTTGGGACTCAAACCAGTGCAGATATGGGATGCCAACACTGCAGGTTGCTCTCTGTTATCACACTTGACCACTTCCTGGAATTTAGCCTTTTAAAAAGTTTTTAGAATAAGAAGTTTAGAAACAAAGGTTTTTTTTAAGTCCCTGATTTTAGGAATGAATAGTGGCCAATAGTTCATTCATGTTATTATTAATACATTCTACAAAAGAATTGTATTTTCCTGCCACAACTATATTATGACAGTTTTTTCAGAATAAAAGCTTGCCACCCAAAAAGAATCCAATGTTGAATTTAGTTTATTTCTGACTTGTGAACACTCTTAAGGATACTTTTCTAAACTCTAAGCTGTTTGAGTTCTGGAAGCCACTATTTGTACTTCCAGATAGCTGCAAGTTCTAGAAAATGCTAAAAGCACAGTACCCTTTGAAAAATGAAAATGCAGTTAATCATAAATATTGGAACTTTTATCTCTTATTTTTTAGATGGAAGTTGAAGCGGTGACCCAAAAGATGGAAAATTTGCAACAAGATTATGAGCTCAGATTGGAACAGTATGTTCATCTTCTTGATGTCAGGGCTTCACGCATCCAGAAGCTGGAAGGTACGTGGTTCCTTGCCACAGTGACTAGAGGGGTGGGTTTATAACAGTGGGAAATGTCATCTAAGCCTGCTCTCATCATGTCCTTTCACTTTTCCTGAGTCAATGTTACAAAAAAAAAAAAAAAAGAAGAAGAAGGCAGTTTTCCTTTATCATGTTCTATTACTCCAGAATGTTTATAAAACTTCTTACTTCTTTTTGGATATAGTACTGAAGTTGGATTTCAAAGTACCAATAAGTAACTTGATACTTACTAAAATAAGTAAGCATCAAGTTGGCCACCGTCTTTGGCATTTCTCTGGGGAACCTGTATACCTCAGCCAACCAGGTCTGGGTTCTCTTTGCCAGGTTCGTTTTGCTCAGAACCAGTGTCCTCCATCATGTCATTGTTCTTGCTCTTTTCCCTGCCTAAACCACCTTCCTACCTTGATTTTAAGGCATAGCTTTCCCTGCTCTGAAATCTAACTCAGGAAACAGGCTCCAGTTGCTCTTAGCCATCCATCCACTTGAAATGCCCTGGCAGGGATTTTCAGACTTCAGGAACTATGAAAATCACCCAAGGAACTTACTCAAAATGTAACTTCCTAGACCTGATCCCAGCGGCCTGGGACCTGTGATTCTGCAGTGTGAGATCTGCAACGATAAGTACTTTGTCATTCTTGAATATCTACTGCTGTCTACTGAGTAAGCTCTGACTCAGCGTGAGCCAAGTCAAAGCCAAGAGACAGGACGTCTAGCTGTGTCTCCTACGTGAGTGGCGGGGGCCGAGGTACTCAGGCTGTCTGCTGCTGTCTTCCCAGCTGTGTTATCAGGGAGCTGAACTGGAAGCATAGCAGCCAGGTCTCCAACTGGAACTCATATGGGACGCCAGTAGCACAAGCAACTGTTTAACCTGCCATAGCGTCATGCGGTGTGCCACAATGCCAGCCCCAGAATTTTTGTGACTCATGTTAAATTAATAAGAAACCTGTTATACCTTCACAGAAATTATAGTATTTTTAAAAAGAGTGCATTTTAAAAAAGATTCTGAAAGAGTAGCATTTTAAATTTACAATTTTTTAATTGTTCAGGATTCTTGCGAATCGTTTTAGCTTTGTGCTTAACAGAAAACAGCTGGATTTTTTAAATCCGTCTCTGCATTTAATCTGTTGTGATATCACAAATCATTGTAAATTTGTAGTGAATAAAAATTAAAAGGGCAAATAACATCTGAGCATCTTTTTTTAGTATCACCTTAAAGGCACATTGACATCACAGACCCCCCCAACTGTTTTGTTCAGAGACCCTCACGGATGCCCATACTGCATTGCTTGATGTGGAAAGGCCAAGCAGGGCTTTCCAAAAGTCCAGGAGCAATGTGTACCTTTTATTCCAAGTAGTGCTCAGTAAAAAACTCACCCATTCTTCCCATTACCTGTAGCATAATCTCTGAAATGCAGTTCTGAGTTTAAGGTGTTCTTAACATTTAAGTCACATTTTGGCGTATCTGGGTTGATTCCTGCCTGCCACTCCCAGTTCCAGGTTTCTCCTGCTGCAGAACCTGGGAGACGGCCATCATGAAATCAGTAACTGGATTTCATTCAGCAGCAGGGGAAATTCTGATTACCCTGATTTGTTCATTACACAATATATGTATTTATTGAGTTATCATACTGTACCTCATAAGTATGTACAACTATTATTTCAGTAAAAAGCTATTTCTTAAATAGAAATACATATTTGATAGTATCAAAAATCAACAGAGTATGGAATCACTTCTCAAAATAATCTGGACTAAAAAGAAGAAAATCATAAAATAAAACACCAGAAAACTGTAAGAGAAAAAGAAACCCCTGAAGAATCAGCATACTGAGGCCAATGGCGTTGCGGTATAACAGGTTATGCCACCACCTGCAATGCTGAACATCATATAGATAACCCTTTGAGTCCCAGCTGCTCTGTGAATGTGGCCAGGGAAATCAGTGGAAGATAATCCAAGTACTTAGACCCCTGCCCCATGTGGGGGACCAGAATGAAGTCTGTGGCTCCTGGCTTTGGCCTGGCCCAGCCCTGACTGGTGAGGCCATTTGACGAGTGAGCCAGTGGCTGCACAGTCTCACTCTCCCTTTTCGTGTGTCCCTTTCTCCCTTTCAAACAAATCCGTTAAGAAAAAAAGGAAGGAAGAACCAGAGAAGCGCTTGGACCATCCTCTGATGCTTCCTCTGGATTGGGATTATGAGGTACTGGGACTTGAACCAGTACTCCAATATGGGATGGGGTGGCCCAGCCTCTGTGACACAGTAACTGTCCATCAAGTTGTAACTTTGCTGCTGTTTATTAAGTGATTTCAAAGCAATTGATGTCTGGATGGTAGAATATTATCTATGGAAAATGAATATAGTTATAAAATTTCAGATTGAGACCATTCACTGAAGACTTCAGACTCCTTACCAGTTTAAGAAACAGTTTGTATCTTCATAAAGCAATATTTTAAAAATCTCTGTAAACTCTGCCTTCTCTTGCAGCCCAATTAAAGGATATCGCCTATGGCACTAAGCAATACAGATTTAAACCAGAAATCATGCCAGATGACTCTGTTGATGAATTTGATGAAACCATCCATCTAGAACGAGGAGAAAATCTATTTGAAATCCACATCAACAAAGTGACCTTTTCTTCTGAAGTTTTACAAGCGTCTGGAGACAAAGAGCCTGTGACTTTCTGTACCTATGCTTTCTATGATTTTGAGCTACAGACTTCTCCCATAGTGCGAGGCCTTCACCCAGAATATAACTTCACTTCCCAGTACCTTGTTCATGTTAATGACTTATTTTTGCAATATGTTCAGAAGAATTCCATCACTCTTGAGGTTCACCAAGCTTACAGCACAGATTATGAAACAATTGCAGCGTGCCAACTGAGATTTCATGAGATCCTGGAAAAAAACGGCAGGATATTTTGCACAGCAACTTTGGTGGGTAAGTACCGTTTATTAGCTTCAGATGCATGTCTATGTTCTACGTCAGTATCTTCTGCCTTTTAGGTGCCCCTAGGGTAAGGACAGTATTGTCTGCCCACAGTTGGAAACTGTTACAAACTGTTATCAAACTGCCATGACTGTTGCTTTTTTAAAAATACGTAACTCCTGGTATTTGTTTATCATACTGATACTCGTGTTTGTTTAAATATTAATTACAGAATATTTATTCAGTTTTTAAAGACCTTTCATGTTACCGCTGTTACTGTATACTAGGAATGTAATGCTCAATGGGAGGTGGAGAGGCGAAACTCTTGTCTACTTTGCCTTGTAGGGGAGAAAACAAACAATAAAACATATATACTGTGTGTGTGTGTGTGTGTGTGTGTGAGTGAGAGAGAGAGAGAGAGAGAATGTCAGACATGGAGAAAATGAAATAAGAGCCAGAGATTAAAGTATAAAAGGGAGAAATGAATGGATGCTTGTTCAGATCAGAGCTTCCTTCTGGGACTGACATTGGTAAAGGCTTGGATGAAGAGCCAGGCCAGGATCTCAGGCCAAGAATGGTCTGACAGAGGAAATAACATGCCTCAAGTCCTGAAGGAGGAACAGCAAGAAGGCCAGCAGCTGGAGCAAGAGGTACTACGTCATACCAGATAATCTTATAGGTTATAATGAGGAGTTTTGTTTTTGATAGGTTTTAGAAAAATCTGAATGCCTTGGAGAAAAAAAATAGTCTAATTGGGGACAAGAGGAGAAAATCGGGCTAATGCACTGATTTGTGCAAAGGTGATGGTAGCTTGGTAAAATGGCATTAAAAGTGGTCGTGAGAAATGATCATATTCAGTAAATACTAACTTTCAAATTTAAAAGTTGAATGTGGGATAATGAAGAATTAGAAGAGACATGAATTTCTGATGTGAGCAACTTGGAGAATAGTGTGTCACCATTTGCCGAGATAGGAAAGACTGGGAAAGGAACAGATGTGAGAGATAAATCCGTTCTGTGCTGGTTGACATCAACCTGCCTGTTAAGCACGCAAGTGGTCTTATCAGAGGTAACCAGTTGGCTGCAGTACCCTAAGGTCAGGGGTAGAGATTTAAGCTGTAAGTCATTAGCATGTTGAAGATATTTTATACTTTGGGCTTCCAATAATATCATAAAGACTGAATGTAGATAAAGAAGAGAAGGTGAGCAAGGGCTGAACCTTTGTAAACTCCAAAATTGAGGGTTCAAGAAAAGATCCAGCAAAAGAGACAGAGGAGTGGCCAGTGATGGGATGAAAACAAGAGAATATGAAAAGAAAAAGAAAGGCTGAGTGGCAGAGAGAGAGCACTGCCATCTGCTGGTTTACTCTGCCAAACACCTGCATCTGGGGTTGCACTTGTACTGAAGCCAGAAACCCCGAACCCCAGTGAAGTCTTCTCTGTGGCTAACACTCTTCCAATTACTTGAGCCACTACCATTGCCTTCTCGGGTCTGCATTGGAGTAAAACTGGAGTCAGGAAACAGGGCCTGGAAACAAACCCAAGCATTTAGATATTCTGATACAGGACAGAGAGATCTCAACCAGCAGATCAAATGTCCACTCCTCACAAAATCATTTTAAGGCAGAAGACCTGGGGCCAGTACAGTAGCATGCCAGGCTCATTCTCAGCCTGCAGTGCCAAGATCCCATAAGGGTGGCAGTTCATGTTCCAGCTGCTCCACTTCCAGTCCAGCTTTCTGCTTATAGCCTGGATAAACAGTGGAGGATGACCCCGGGCCCCTCATGGGAGACTTAGAAGAAGCTGCCTCTTAGCATCAGATCAGCTCAGCTCTGGCCAATCTCTCTCTTTCTCTCCCCCCTCCTTTCGTTTCTCTCTCTATATAACTGATTTTCAAATGAATAAATCTTTAATAAGGAAAGAAGAGGAGAAATTATGTATCTAGGCAGAGACATTTTTAAGATAAAGTTTTATTATTTGAAAGACAGAGAGAGGGAGCAATCTTCCATTTAACTAGTTCACTCCTCTGATGGCCATTACATCCAAGGTTGGGCAAAGCGGAAACCAGGAGCCTGGAATTCTTTCCAGGTATCCAGGTGTCCAGGGGAGTGGCAGGGAGCAGGTACTTGGACGTTACCCACTACCTTTCCAGGGGCGTTAGCTGGAAGCTGGATCAGGAGCAGGCATTCTGATATGAGATGCCAGTGCCATAACCAGCGACTTAATCCAGAGAGCCACAGGACAGCCCTGGGGAAGGGATTGCATTTTATTGATTGAATAAGTGATTACATAGGTAAGATATTCACATGATTCAAGAATGAAAAAATAAATACCTGCCTCCTTGTCTTACCCACCATCTACCCTGAAAGATACATGTTCTTTTAAATATCTTTTATACATATATCAAGCAATGTGTGGGTAAATTAATAGTCTTGGGGCTTTTTAAAAATGGTAGCAGGTAATAAATCATGTTTAAGTCCTGATAATGATCCATTAGCAAATTGAGATAGTAGAAAGCGGTGAGGGGCCCTGTGCAACAGCGGCTAAAGTCCTTGTCTTGAATGTGCCAGGATCCAATATGGGCTCCAGTTCTAATCCCGGCGGGCGCGCTTCCCATCCAGCTCCCTGCTTGTGGCCTGGGAAGGCAATCAAGGACGGCCCAAAGCCTTGGGACCGTGCACCTGTGTGGGAGACCTGGAAGAGGCTCCTGGATCCTAGCTTCAAATTGGCTCAAAACCAGCCATTGTGGCCACTTTGGGAGTGAACCATCAGATGGAAGATCTTCCTTTCTGTTTCTCCTCCTCTCTGTGTATCTGCCTTTCCAATAAAAATAAATAAATCTTTCTGAAAAAAGCAGTGGAATATTTTTAATAATATGATATCTTCAGAAAGGCTCATGCGTATAGACCAGTGTCAATTTGCTGTATCTTGAATGCTCACTATGTATTAATTTCTCTGGTTAGAATATACTGATAGAAACTACAGTCCTTACTTACCCTCAAGAAACTTTCAGTGTGGTAGCAAACAGGCACGCAGGAGCCCTGCTGGGGACACCCAAGCTCAGTGAAGGAAACACAAGGCTGTCATGTCTTTTGAGATCCTTAAAAGTGGAAGTCTTCACAGAGGAAGAAAGATCAAGAGCTGCCTGGATTCAGAGGCGTGCCAAGGATGTGCAAGAGAAACACACGGGGTTTTATTAAGTACAGTATGCATGAGTAATTGAACACATGGGGACACGTTACAGAAAGTACAAGTGAATAGTTGAATGTGTGTGCATATTTTGTATTTGGTACACATGAGAGACTGAACACACATGGAGGATATATTGTGATGAATACACACGGGGAGTTGAATACGTGTGGGTATGTTATGTATAATACATGTGAGTGCACATGGGTGTATTGTGTACAGTACACGTGAGTCATTGGACACATGTGGGTATCTTGTATACGGTCCAGTGAGTAATTTTTCAAACACTGGTCAGTTGTTGCGTGTTTGGCATGGTTCTGATGTTTTCCCATATACTAGCGCCACAGTAAAGAGATGGAAGAGTGCCAAATTTTCTTGAAGGCTGAATTCGAAGTTGGAATGTTGTATTTATAATTTTGAGGTTTTGTATGTAAATTACACTGAGTGTAACTTGTTTTTAAAGAGCACTGCAGCATCAAAAAGAATCTGTGGAAATATTTGCTTCAGTATTTGAACTTTTATAGATCAGAAGTATGCAAATAGTATGAATTAGAATGACTCAACCTCCATTTGACATAGTTCTTTAATATTTCACATACAGTGAAACTAATATTTGAAAAATAACTATTTTCTTCCTCTGGTCTTTGCCAGTCATATATCATGGATTGCAGTTATATAGTATAAAATCGATCCTCCTAATGCCTGTTGCCATTGATGTGGGTTCTGGTTTTTTTCCCACTGCCATGTATTTTCTTTTATGGGGCTGTTTTAACCGTGAGTTATACATTGATTTCTAGGAACGAAAGGAAACATCCCAAATTTTGGCACAGTAGAATACTGGTTCCGATTAAGAGTTCCCATGGATCAAGCAATTCGACTTTACCGAGAACGAGCAAAGGCTTTGGGATACATAACATCAAATTTAAAAGGCCAAGATAAAATGCTGTCGGTAAGCTTGTTTGGCTTTAAGGCCCTTCTCTGATACAGAAATTGTATAATATTTCCTTTTATGCCATGCTTTAAACCGAAATTACTTTCATTCACAATCATCAAGTGGCCTTTTTTTTTCTCTTTTTATTTCAAGTGGCTTTTTAAAACTTTTTAGTGTTAAGTAATCATCGACTCATAGGAAGTTGTAAAAATAGTGCAGAGTTCTCATGTGCCTTTGACCCAGTTTCTCCCAGTTATAATGTCTTCCGTGACTGTAGTACGCAGTCAAGACTGGACATTGCCATGGAGTACAGTTAACTAGTACGGTTAACTAGTACAGTTAACTGTGGTATGTGCCTTATTCAAATCTCATCAGCTTTCACCTGCACTCTGTTAATGCAGTTTTATATATGTATGTTCATAGAACCATCATAATAATTAAGACACAGAATTGTCCCACCAACCCAAAGGAACACTTGTGCCGTTACACAACATCCTTTGGTAAAATAAAATGATATAACTACTATCACACATCAAGAAACTTTCATTAACATCTTCTACTGTTAATAATGTTATTAAACTGTCAGTTATTATCTCTCTTTTAAACTGTTTCCTTATGCTATGTTTCTAAACTACAAAGTAGAATGCAAAGTGAATGTCCTGTTGTCGAGAGTTGTAACTTTAAATGTAATTCCGAAGCAGCATTTCCCAAACCATGTTTCATGGAGATTATTATTATTTTTTTAATTTGAAAAGCAGCTATACAGAGAGAAGGAAAGACAGAAAGATCTTCCATCTGCTAGTTCACTCCCAAGTAGCCACACTGGCCAGAGCTGAACCAGTCCAGAGCCAGGATCCAAGGACTTCCTCTGGGTCCCCCATGTGGATGCACGGGCCCTATGACTTGGGCCCTCCTCCACTGCTTTCCCAGCCTACGGTCAGGGAGCCGAGTCAGAAGTGGAGCTGCCAGAACATGAACTAGCACCCACTGGGACGTCAGTGCTTGCAGGTGGAGGATTAGCCTGTTGAGCCACCACGTGGCCCTCTCGTGGACTTTTTACGGCCATATTTCCAAATGGATTGTGTGCTCTGGAGAAGGCAGAAAGCCCTGAATTGAACATAGGATTTTTCACATTAAGACTTCTTGTATATAATGTGACTAAGCTGGGAGCGTAAAGTATGCAACTATGTTTAATAATGGGGTAGAAGATTTAGAATATACCAGAAACATTTTGAATGTTCATGTCGTGATTATCTTTTTTCTCATGGAACTTCCTTCCGCCCCATTCCATCACCGAGGTTAATGTTGGGCGATTCTGTTTTCTGCCACTCCCCACTCAATTTTAACTAGTGATTCAGGATTTTCCAGTTGACTCCAGTTTGGGATTAATCTGAGCCTTCTGAGATCAAGAGAAAACTAAACTCACTACGCGGGGAGCTGCAGACAGCTATCTTTCCTGTTAACCAGCAAAACATTGAAAATAGATCTGAAGAGAAAAAGCGAGTATGGCAATGAGCAGACAGAGGAAAAATGGATACCGTATAGAGAAAAAATTACATTTTTCCAATCCCACTGGCTTTTTAAGACCTTCCTGCATTTCTGCTGTACAGATACGTGAACTATTCTTATAGCCTTATATTAAGTTCCCTTTCTGTTGTTTTTGCTAGATGAACTGATTTCTGTAAATTCCACTTAAAGAACCATATATGACTAGAGCCCAGTGCGGTAGCCTAGTGACTAAAATCCTTGCGGTACACGCATTGGGATCCTGTATGGCGCCAATTTGTATCCCGGCTGCTCCGCTTCCCTTCAGCTCCCTGCTTGTGGTCTGAGAAAGCAGTAAAGGATGCCCCAAAAACCCTGGGACCCTGCACCCACATGGGAGACCTGCAAGAAGCTGCTGCCTCCTGGCTTTCCATTAGCTCAGTTCTGGCTGTTTCGGCCACCTGGGGAGTGGGAGATCTCTGTCTCTCCTTCTTCTTGTATAATCTGACTCCCAATCGAAATAAATAAATCTTAAAAAAGCAAAGAAAGAGCCACGACCAGTCAAACATGATTCTCAACATAGGAAGGAGTGGGGCCCACGTCCCGGAGGTCATTCTGCCTGGTGTTTCGGTGTCCTCTGGGAAATGGGAATGAAAATTAGACATAAGGAGATCAGATCGTATGGTTTTGCATTTTTCAATGGTTTTTTTTTTTAAACTCCCAGTTTCTGGCTTGAATTAGTCATTAACTGGTTGAATTTCAGCCTTTTTAGGTGGTTTGGGGGACTAAGCCGTGGAAGTGCTTCTCACGTCTTTCCTTTGAGCCTTCCATAGCTAAGGCAGCCCAGCTCCTGGCGAGCCGCGCTGCGATTCCTGTGTCAGGCTCCCCCTTTCGCCAGATGACTCCGCTAAGGAGACTGGGGCTCCAAGCTCCGCTCTGGGTCAAGGGTCCCAGATGCTCAGTCCAAACTTAGAAATGCAGAGGAATGTTCCTTCGTGGAAGATAATTCTCCAACAGCAAACTAAGTAAGGCCCTGAGACACTTGGGGTTTTTGTGTGTTTGTCCCAGCTCACATCAGCTGTGAAAGATCGAACAGTTTTCTAGAATCCTTGTTTTCGGGCCATTAATGGTTCAAACAGGGTCATAGGATAGTTGTCACCTCTGCCTTGTGGCCCCTTTTGCTCCTCTGTCTCCTAAGATGTCTCCCTAGTTCTAGCTTTTTTTTTTTTTTTTTTATGTCTGACACTGTTTTCTTTCCTGTGGCAGTTGAACTTTGAAATACTAGATAATCTCAATTTTTGGGGTATCTGCTTCTGTAGACCCCAGTGGTGCACAGTGAGAGCCAACTCAACTGTCGCATCGTTCTGGGGAGCCAACGGAATGTCCTGTACTTAAAATATTACTTCCATTGGACCCTTGCTTTACTTGATTCTTTGTTACCAGCAGATTATTTTGTTACGCATAATAAAGGAATATTAACATTTTTTTTGTTTTAGCACCCATTTCTATCTTTGTTTTCGGCTTCCCATATTTGTTGCTGTTAGCATGGGATAATCTGTTATATGTTCCAGGAGATACTGATTTTTAATAAGATTCTACAGAAAATTCACTACACAGCAAAATACACAGCTTTTTTCCATTTACAAAATTGATGGTTGGGGGTTGGCACCTACTGCTTGTGTTTCAATTATATTATTTCTGTAATTAAAAATATGTATGTTTTTCCAGTTAAGTCAGCAAGCACCTAAAACTGCTCAGCTCAGTTCTACAGATCCCACAGACGGCAACTTAAATGAACTTCACATTACAATAAGATGTTGCAACCACCTGCAGTCCCGAGCAAGCCACCTGCAGCCACACCCATATGTTGTGTACAAGTTTTATGATTTTGCAGACCATGATACAGCCATCATTCCCAGTAGCAATGATCCACAGTTTGATGATCATATGTGTTTCCCAGTGCCAATGAATATGGATCTGGATCGATACCTTAAGTCAGAATCTCTGGGTTTTTATGTGTTTGACGATAGTGATACCCAGGAAAATCTTTACATAGGAAAAGTCAATGTGCCTCTGATTTCATTGGCACATGACAGGTGCATCTCAGGTAAGCCTATGTTCTTGAATCTATGAAATTGTAACGCTAAACCTCTGTGATGCCTCGACTGAGCTTCGTAGCCTTAGCCTTTTCACTTTGGGCCTGTGCTGTTTTATTGTTTGATTCCTTAGTAATTAACTAGAGATTACAATGATTGTCTTGTCCCAGTGCACTTAAAATTAATGACTTAATTTAATTAAAATATTGCCTTTAAAATTTTCATGTCCTCTCCCCTCCTTTGCACTGTTATTATCATAGATATGTGTTAATATTGCTCTGTATTACAAACCCAGTAATACAGTGTTATAATTATTGCTTTATATACTCATGTGTTCTTTAAAGAAAAGAAAAGAGAAAATAAATCATTATAGTCCACTTTGATATTCACCTACATGTTTATCATTTCTGATGTTCTTTATTTCTTCCTGTGGGTTTAAATTCTGCCTAACATCATTTCCATATTCCAAGATACCTCCATTTTCCCTCTTCCCTGTTCTGTTGTTGTCACGTACATGCAAAAGCCCAAAAAATGTCATTTTATAATTCTGATTTCATGCAGTTGTCTTTTTTAAATCAATTAAGGGGAGAAAAAAGAAAAATCTCCTGTATTGTAAGACTATACTCAGGATGTCTTTTATCATTCCTTGTTTTTTTGTCTCAGTTCCTTTGCGTGAGCCGGTAACAATGTCCACGGTCACTTTCCCCGATTGACTTTTTCTGGCAGGTCTCAGAACTCAGGTCTGCTGGCCGAGAACTTCTCAGTCCCTCTTATGTGAGAATATCTTCATTTTGCTTTTATTTTTTTGAAGGATAGCCTTGCTGGATATAATATTTTTGATCAACAGATTTTGTTGTTGTTGTAGTTTATTTGCATGTTTGTTTTTCCTCTTTCGGTCGTTTGATTCAGGCAACTGTCTCGTCATCCGTTATTTCTGATTAGCTGTTAATATTCTTGTGGTTCAGCTTTACTTGATATTGTGTTCAAGTTTGTTTTTGGTTCGACTGTTGTCTAAACACATATCTCCCTGTGTTTTATGATACATGAAATTTATTGGGCTTCTTATTTATATAATACAGTATTACTAAATTCGGGGAATTTTGTAACATTTCTTAAATATTTGCTCTATCTTTCCTTCCCCTTCCATCACATGTGTGTTGATCTTTTTAATAATATCCCAGAGGCTTCAGAGGCCCCGTTTATCTTCTTCATTTCTCCCTCTGTTTCTTCAGGCTGGTGATCAAACTTGAAATCTGATCATTTCTCCTGCCACCTCACATCTCATGCTGAGCCTTTTCATTTTAGTAACGTCTTGACTCCAGAATTTTTACTTCTTTTTATGTAATCTTTTACCATATTCTTCATTTGGCAGATCATTGTCATCATACTTTCCTTTAATTCTTCATGCTTGTTTTCTTTGAGTTCACAGATGGTTGATAAGAGCTGCTTTGAAGTGTGTTTGCTTGTATTTGCTTTGTCATGTGTGTCTGCTTAGAGAACATCTACTGATAGCTTTTATCCTGTGTATGCATCATACATCCTGCTTGATTGCATGTAGTCTTGTTATTGAAAACTGGACATTTATGGCATCCTCCCAGGGTGATTATTGTCGCTAGTTTGTTTACTGAACTTCACTAATTCTGTAGAGTTTGTTTCCTGATGTCTCTGCTACATTTTATTTCTTTGTCTTATTCTTACTTAAGTCAGCATAACTAAGTAGTAAGCCTGTGACAACGTCAGGATGTGCCCAGATACGACCTTTGATCATGGGCCAGTCTGCGGCTTGCCGAACACACTCATAGATCAGATCTTTGAATAAATCTGCATCAACCGTTACTTCGTACGTTTGCTGGGCCCCAAGTTTGACCGATGACAGTTTACTAAGATCCCCTCTGATTTCTCCTGAGCAGCCGCACAGCTTAGTGCGTGTCCCCACAGCCTTCCCTGCTTTGAAGCATCAGTGGGGTCCTCTACTTTAGGTTTCCCCTTCCTTGCATCTCCCTTTCAGACTGTTGGCTGAACCAGAATTGAGACTTCAAGTTAGCTGTGACATTAGCCTTCCCTCATTGTTTGCCTCTGAGATTGCGACTATTTCAACAATGGTCCTAGACGTGAGGTTATCAACAGTGTATGTTCCAAATAATGTCAGCCACCAGTCCTTGTAGTCTGCCCATCCTGCTGTGATTTCTGTACCTTGGAGTAGGGGAGCAGGAATGAAGGCAGTCCCAAAACCCCCAGTGGTCCTGTGAGGGTCAGTGTATTTTCTTGCCCTAGTGCTTCTCATTTTGTTTGACCCCTCACGCATTAGTTTTACTCATTCAGTTTCCTTATTTCAAGTCAGAGATTGTTCGTTTCCCAGAAGTTTAGTGCAACGATTAAAATCTGTGATACACGCAGATTCAACTGGGTAGCACTTATGGTATCTACTATTTGTTTTGAGTGATCTGTTTATTAAATGAATTTTTTCTTTTTGCTGCTCTACCACTAATTTGGCAAAATTCTGAATTAGTAAATTGCATTTAAAATTATATATAAGATTATATACTAACATTAAGACTCCTTTACAAACATAAATTATTTGACATTTTAAATCTTGGTGATGTATTTAACTTTAGGACAAGTCTCTTACAGAGATACTTAGTTTAAAATGAGTGCCAGTGCTTGAGCTATTCCATAGGTATCTCAGTGGAAAGTGTATACTTCTGAGTTTAATTTTGGTGAATTAACATATTTATAAAATGATTTTATCTTCTTTGAATCAGTGTTATCTCTGATGCTTTAATTTCTGAAACACACCTGTTGAGAGGTAAATCTGTCTTGGGACCTTTTATTCCCCATTGAAATTTTAAGTGAAATGCAAGCTTATTTTTCAAGTTAGGAATAATTCATTGTTCCTCCTTATTTCTGAAGGTAACAAAACTTCACTTGAGCATTGAGCACAATGTATTTTGATTTACCAGGAATATTTGAGTTAACAGATCATCAAAAGCATCCTGCGGGTACCATCCATGTTACGTTGAAATGGAAATTTACGTATCTTTCACCAAGTGGTTCTTTAACAACTAAAGACTTAGGAAACTTCATACACAAAGAAGAGCCAGAAGTTGTTCACAGGCTACCTCCAGCCTCTTCTGTTAGCACCATAGCTGAGGTAACTTTGAATGTTTTCCCTAGTATAAACATTTGATATAAAACTTCAGAAATAGCCACATACCTACAGAAAAAATAGTACAGATGTCTGTAATGGCAATGGGTGCTTGGTCCAGCTGTTAAGATCCCCACTCCCCACATCTGAGGACTTGAGTTTGATTGAGAGCTCCACCTCTCCATTGCAGCATTCCCACTTTGCCACACTAGGAGCCTGGTGATGGCTGTTCAGGTGGATTGCTGAAAACCATAAGGAAGAGCAGTAGTGAGTTCCCCACTGCTGCCCCCAGGTGGCAACCTGTTCATTGCCGACATTTGGGGAGTAAGCCAGCAAATGGCAACTCTGACCATCTCTCTCTCCCCATCTGTCTGTGCTTTTTCCTTTTATGCCTCTCAAATTAAAAAGAAAAGGGGCGGGGAAGGAGGAAGGGAGAAAAGAACTTAGGAAAAAAAGAAAGGAGAACAAATGCAAATGCAGTGCTCATCATACTCAGTGAGACACACTGATTTCTCTTAGGCACCAAGACCCAAACCAAGACAACGCATAATGCCTGCAGAGAAGAAAGTGTCTTTTGCAGATATAAAGCCACAGGAGAATTCTGTAAGTATTTAAGTTCTCGAATACTCTGTTTTTACCATAACAAATATTTGAATTAAACTGTATGAATATGCATTATCTAACTGATGTAAAGGGCAACAGATGAATGAAGATCTCTTTTCCCTTGGAAATGATAGCTCCGCAAGTCGGCACTATGTTTGAGTGTTAACTGTTTGTATTCTTCAATCTCAACCCTCACAGTGCCCCGTAACTCTTTCAAACAGCACTGCCCCATCCTCACTTACCAAAACACAAATGCATAAATAAAAGTAGACAAGTAATTAAGTTTTTTAAAGAGCTCTTCAAAAAGCTGTCTAAATTCTGTATCCTACTCCTCACACTATATTTTGAACTCATTATTCTCAAGTTTTCATCTTCATTAAAACTATTGTGATTGAGGCCAGCTCTATGGCATACTTGGCTAAGGCACTGCTGACCATGCTGGCATCCCATATGGGTGCCAGCTCAAATCCCAGCTACCCAACTTCTGAGCCACCTCCCTGCTTATGACCTGGGCCCCTGCACTCATGTGAGAAACCCAGAAAAGGCTACATGGCCCCTGGCTTTGAACCAGCCTAAATCTGGCCGTTGCAGGCATTTGGGGAATGAACCAACAGATGAAAGACCTTTCTCCCTGTCTCTCTTTCTCTCTGTAACTTCACCTTTCAAATAAAAATAAAATATTTCTTTAAAAAAAGAAAAAAGAAACCACCTGGCTGATGTTTCAGTGGCTTTTTTATGAGTTTGTTTTTGATGATGTTTACATGGTTAAAAAGGATGCATCGCCTGTGTGGACCAGAAATTAACGTAAGGAGGATCAAGGAATGGGGGAAAGTGGATGAGACAATTGTTTCCTATCTCCTTTTCTCTTCCTGTGCCTGGGGAAAGTGGGGAGAGACGGGGAGAGGACCTCTCAGTCAATGGGACAGGACCTCTCAGTCAATGGTATGATCGTTGCCTTGGTTGCATAGATAAAATGCTTTGGAGGCATGCCCTGTGCTCCACTGTTTTCTCAATCCCTACAGTGTTACCACTCAAGTCACCATCATCTCTCAGGGAGTTTTAAAGAGGCATATGTCCCTTAAAGGACGTGGATCTGAAGCCTACGACTCAGTGGATTTTTTCTTACGTACTTGCATATAACTACCACCCACTGAGTTCAACACAACACTGGGAATGTACACAAAATTAAGTATATGTGCAGTGCATTAGTGAATTCAAGAATTATAACCCACGGGCCAGTGTAATGGCTGGATAGGCCATGGGAGACCCAGAGGAAGCTCCTAGATCCTGGATCCTGGCTTCCTATCTGCTCATCTCAGTCCATTGTGGACGTTTGGGGAGTGAACCAGTGAACAGAAAATCTTTCTCGCTGTTTCTCTTTCTCTGTGAATCTGGTTTTCCGAAATATTTTTTTTTATTTTAAAAATAAAAATTAAATTTGTTTTCCCAATTGCAGAAATATATGTTTTCTTTTTTTATTAATTTGCATTTTATAAATTTGAGAAAAATGAACTTTTGTTCGATAGCAAAAAGTGTTTTCCCAAAGTTACATATTAAAACAAATATATTTTAAAATTTTTAAGTTATTTATATTTTTATTGCCAATCTCGCCATTCCAAGCACGATGAAATCTCCAGAATCCGTTGGCTGACACAGTCCACCTTAGAGTCTCCACTTGCCCAGATTTTCACTGCCAACATGTGGCTGGGGTAGTTGATCAGTTTGTTCTGTCCTCCGTTGTAGTACCAAGTGTCCCCTGCAGGCTCCAGTGTATTACCATATCCTCCGTTGTTCCTGGATATGCTGTCCACTGCTCCATCTGAGCCACTTGAGGAGGCTCAGCTTTGACACATGCACTCCACGATCAGACCATGGAACCTGCGCTTCTCCTCATGTTGGGGTTCTGAGTCCAATAATTCAGATGGAGGGATCCCCAAAGAAACTTCATCTGAGATGATCCCAGACCTGATTCTTGTGTGTGCTTGCTAGTACAGGTTCTAGCACAGTCCTTCGCCCCAGTCAACCTATGCACATGCTGGTGGTTGCAATTGCTGGGTCAGTTCTGTTTCCAGCCCTGTCTTCTACATGAACCGATGGATGTTGAACTCCAGCCCGGTCCTGCCCACCACACGCTCATCCCTCATGCAAACCAGTGGGAGCTGCAGCCTAGTCAGAGCAACCCACAATAACCCCCACCAATCCCGCCCCCTGCCTTGGTTCCTGTGCTTGCCAATATTTACAGCAGACTGGTTTAGTATGTCCCACATCCCTTTCAGCTCTCACATGTCAATGCATGCCCTGTATTTTAAATAATGTTTACTGTTGGACATTTTCATTGTTTTCAACTTTTACACTGCTTCAACAAAGCGTATTTGCAGTTCTTAAATTGATCTAAAGATGTGACTGTGTGTGTAAAGATACTTCAAGGAATGCTGACTGTTGTATTAAAATACATGAAATTCAGTGTCACATGAGTAACTGTTTTTTTTTTTTGCTGTCAATTTCTATTGGTGCATCTGTGTAAATGTAAAATTTTTAGATTGATTTTAGGTTTAGTGGTAAATATAAAATAATAATATGCATGTATGTTTTCACATTGATAAAAGGATACCTCTACTACTGCTGGAGATAGGACGACAATTTTGCCCAAAGTAGAAGATACACCAGAAATAGAAATTACTGTGCCATCTGTTTCACATCTTCCAGAGGTATGCATTTGTATTAAAATCATTTTGAAAGGTTTAATTTGCTTAAAGGGTTTGTCTTATGCTTTGGGCATGGTTCAGGAAATCCCTGCATTTATCCTGTTTTTTACGTACAGTCCCTGGCAATTGAAAGGTCAGAAATCTGACATGTGTAACATCTACCTTTCTACTGATGCTGGCAGGTACCATATAGACGTGAGCATTAAAGTCTTCATGGAAAAATCATTTTGAGGTGAATGCATATTTCATTCTTAGCACATTCCAAATCCATGTTTACCTGCGTATTTTCAAGTTGGGTGTTGGTTTTCTGGTGAGTCCTGTATGCAGCATATCACGCTGTTCAAAGCCTCCGGTTTCCATTGACATCTCAAAGGCCTTATCACCCGTGAGCCTCATCAGGAGCGCTCTAGAACGTGATCCAAGCAATGACAAACACACAAACCTGCCTCCTTGCTCCAGGTTTCACACAGAAACGGCGTTGCCGAGGCACAGGAGAGGACCGACGAGACGCAGGAAGGAAAAGACGTCCTGTCTGTGCTCTCCGAGGGTCAGCTTGCAGAGCAAAGCTCGGCTTCCTCCGAAGATGAAACAGAAATCACGGAGGAATTGGAACCAGAAGGTGACTCTTTCTTAAAATCGCTGCTTCCTTAGCTCCTCGCTTTGTTTTGTCAATTCAAATATGCGTCACTGAAGGTCTTCATGTAATGGTAGGATCATTCATGAAATCTCCCTGAGAAATGGTGGGAGGTAGTTTCATGTGCTTAGTTACAGTTAAGTGGAATTGTCGTGTCTCTAATTCTCTCAGTTTGGTCCTCTGTAGTAGTATTACTGATCATGTCCTGAATGTATGTTTTAAACAATTTTATGTTCCCTTTGGGTTCTGTGTTATCATCTGGATTATTCTAGAGGTCCTGCACTTTTAAAAATTAAAACTAAAAACCTAGACCAAAAAATACAATAGTCGTGTATAACTAAATGTATATGAAAATCTAGAAGAAGCAAACTAGCTCTGTATAGGTTTACTGACAGAAAGCTACTAAGTGGGCCTGGGGAAGAAAGAATGGGAAAGAAGGGCCCAGCACAGTAGCCTAGTGACTGAAATCCTCACCTTGCATGCACCATGATCCCATATGGGCACCAGTTCGTATCCCAGCAGTTCCACTTCCCATCCAGCTCCCTGCCTGTGGCCTGGGAAAGCAATAGAGGATGGCCCAGAGCCTTGGCACTCTGCACCTGCTTGGGAGTCCCAGAAGAAACTCCTGGCTCCTGGTTTCAGATCGGCTCAGCTGTGGCCATAGCAGCCGCTTGGGGAATGAACCAGTGACCAAAAGATCTTTCTTCTCTCTTCTCTCCTCCTCTCTGTAAATCTTTCAAATTAAAAAAAAAAAATCTTAACAAAAAATGGAAAAGGGGGAGGCAGACGGGATCAATTTCTCAGGGACCTGAGGAAGCTGGTGTCCGATGGATTTGTCTGCTACCTTAACCATGGGGATGATTTCACGGAGTGACGTCCATCTCAGAATGTCAGGCTTCACACAGTATTGTTGCTTAGACTGTTAGAAAACGTTGTGCTTACATTTCTGTTTAAAACTTTTTCTTTAACATCATGCTATGACAAATATAATTGTTTTTATTTCCTTTGCTTCTACCAAAAGTCAACTGGGAATTTACAGCCTTTTTTTCTTTTCTAAAAATATAACGTATGCAAATGTATCTGCTAAAAAAAGGAGTACACCTGAGCAGCATACATTTATCTTAAGATTATTCCAATGATGAGTGTTCGCTTCCCTCTATTTTACAAGAGATGAAAGTGGTTGATCTAACTGTATAATGGTGACCCTTGGTTTCTTAACAGTTGAGGAAGACAGATCAGCTTCGGACAGTGATGATAGCATCATCCCAGCTCCTGTCGCTGAGAGCTTCAAAGAGGTGGGTACCTGGGTGCGAGCGCGGAACGGGCTAGGACAGGCTGCCTTCTCACCCAGAGCACACTGGGCTTCATACACGAAAATCCAAAGACAGCAATTGTTCTGGAAAATGTTTCAGATATTATCATAGTCTTAGTCAAACACAAGAAGTTTTACGATTTCATTATCTGATGATTCATACCACGTAAATGTTATTTTTGTCATGAGTACCTAGCATAGAAGCTTTAGTTACCTTTATCAAGTCAGCTGACTTCCCTCAACTCCTTCTCAGATCTTGTGTACAAAGATGAGTTAAATTAGACCTTCACTTTAAGAAATTCAAAATAAAAGGTTGTCATTTGAAACTATAATAGACTGACAATGTGAATTCATAGACTATTCATATATAAATATGCTCTCTGATAAACCATTAAGGTTATTTTATCTCTGCCAAATAATTAGACTTTATTAGAAGATAAATAATCTTATGTAGGCATGTTTGGTTTATAGCACATTGGTGGAAGGTAGTATATAAACTGAAATTTTGAGAAATATATTTGGGAAATGTGCTATTAGCAAAACAGTATTTTAAAAGGAAAAAAGATAGGGTAAGTTAAAAAAAGTGCTAGCTTGTTCATCTTCATTAATTTTTCTAAAAATGTTAATTTTACTTATTTCATAACAATTTATATTTTACTGGTAAGAGTCACAGTATTTCCTTTAATTCTTTCACATTTTTCTATCCTATTCTGTCTGTAAAACAAAATCATTAAGAACTTCACTTATCACTGATGCTTCTATCAAATACAGGTACATGTTATTTCTGTACTTGACAAAAACAAATAGGACATCCCATCTATCTTACATTATTTAATTGTTAATTATAATAGAAATAACCCGTGGCACCTGACATGGAAACTTCATTGTTCTGAACTGTTAAATCAAGGAAGGAATCTTTGATATGATTACCTGAAAACTTTTTAAATTATAGCATTCAGTTCAATTAAGTTTGTTTTGCTTTGTCACATCTGAGCTTGTTATTTTATTTTATTAAGCAAATAGAATTTTCTACCCTCTATTGGAACAGTTTTACGATGTATGTAGTCATTGGTAAAATGGGCCCTTCGTGTGGGATTTAGCTTCATAAGTAGAAACAGAACCAGTAGGAGCTATCTGTGCAGAAATAAATGTACCGTCATGTGTAATGGAAAGAAGCTGTGGTCAACAGCGGGCCGCATATATAACAGTGGTCGCGTAAGATTGTATTGCCTCATGATGTAGCCATCTTGTTTGAGTAAGTCAACTCCACTGTTCATCCAGTGATTATTCACTTACTGTCACGTTCTCAGAATACCTTCTGTCATTGACAGTGCTTGACTGTGTCAGCAATAGGAGATACATATGTACAAAGAGGTTTACATGATTATGTAGTGATAAACCCCAAGATTTGCCACCAGCAAACTAAAGACTCAGAAGATGGACCCAGCACGGTAGCTTAGCAGCTTAAGTCCTTGTTATGCGCACACCAGGATCCCATATGGACACCAGTTCTAATTCCGGCAGCCCCACTTCCCATTGCAGGTCCAAAGACCTGAAGACCAAGAAGATGTGTCATCTTCTCTGTCAGGTTTTATGGTTATCTACATGAGCATGAGAAGTGAGCTGTTAACTAAGCCCTGAGGACCTCTGGTACCTAGGGATGTGTTTATCCATTCAGTCTACAAACGTTACTCATGCCCGGTGTCATTGCCTGCACTTGGGGCCATTCTCAGAGATAAGGACACAGTATTCTGGCCCTTCCCTCAGGGAGAGACCAGTGGTTGGAAAGATATACTTCTGAAAAGTCAAGCAGTAAAATTACAACATGAAGCAGTGGCAGGAAACAGTATGAGTCAGCAAAATCAGAGTCATGTACTTGGATTAAAGAATACGTAGCCATTCCCAGCCCATTCTCACTTTCTGGTTGGGTTAACAGATCTCAAGAGAGAAAGTGACTTGGCTCGCAATCATTCCAATAAAAAACTTAAGAAAAGTAAAAACAAAAGTGAAAAAAAGAAAATTCAGAGAAAGAAGAAGTTTGAGTGACTTTTTAAAAATTATTTATTTGAAAGGTGGGCTTACAGATAGAAGAAGAGCTGTCTTCCATCCACTGGTTCATTCCCCGGTTTGGCTGCAATGGCCTGAGCTGGACCAGTGCAAAGCCAGGAGCTTCTTCCAGGTCTCCCACATGGGTTCCAGATCCCAAGCACTTGAGTCATCTTCCACTGCTTTCCCAGGCACCTTAACAGGAAGCTGGACCAGAAGAGGAGCAGCTGGGACTCAAATCAGCTCCTGCATGAGATACTGGCTTAGCAGGTGTCAGCTTTAACTCTACACTACAGCACTGGCCCTGGAGTGAAGTTTTAACAGAAATCTCAGAGGCTGTCCCCATGACCTCGCCCACTCTCCTCCTTCCCTGACTCTCTAGGCTTCGTGTCTTCTTTTTCTTATGGTAAACCTCATTTCTCTGCATCACTTATGTTTTTGCACAAAGATAATCCCTCAGTGGCATCTTCTGTGCATCAGGCAGACATAAAGGAGCAGTCTCCTCCGTCAGGGAGCTCAGACTTTTGAAGAAATTCGATCACAGAGCGTGCTGGTCAGCACTCGGTGCTGTAGGGCCATCTGAGACCCGGGCTAAGTCAGCATGTGGAGTCCTCCTCACACAAGACTTCCTAGAGTCACAAAGTTTGAGCCACACGTTGTAGATGATTAGGGCTTGGCAAAAACGGGGAAGGAGATTCCTTGTAGGTTAAAGAAACGAAAAGCATGAGGATTGGAGAGAAGATGCAGCATGGCTTCTTCTGGAATGCATAGAGATTTTAAGATGGGCCAGGCAAGTTAGGGTACACATGGAGAGCCCCAGGAAGACTGAAAAGAAAGGCACAGTCCCTGGCTGTGAGAGCATATGGTTGCTTAAGGAATCAGGGCAGAAAGACCACTCATTCATTGGACAGATATTTGTTGAGCATCTGCTACAATGCAAGCCTTGAAAATAGAGCAGTAAATGTGGTAAAGAAGCCATGTGTTCCAATAGTTTGTAGTTTGGGTTTGCATTTTAAAAGATTGTGTTGGGTCTGGCACAGTGGCCTAGTGGCTAAATTCCTCGCCTGAACCCACTGGGATCCCATATGGGCACCAGGATTAGAACCTGTGGCCCTACTTCCCATCCAGCTCTGTGCTTGTACCCTGAGAAAGCAGTCGAGGATGACCCAAAGCCTTGGGACCCTGCATCCTTGTGGAAGACCCGAAGGAAGTTCTTGGCTCCTGGCTTCAGAGGGCGCAGCACTGGCGCTCACTTGGGGAGTGATTCATTGGACGGAAGATCTTCCTCTCTGTCTCTCCTCCTCTCTGTATATCTGAGTTCGCAATAAAATTAATATAAATCTTTGAAAAAAAAAAGATTATGTTGTAAATATAAAAGAATGAGAAGCTAATTAAAAAGTAATACTTTATAGTTACCCTCACTTTATAGACTTGTTAAAAATTGCCTCTTTCCTGTAATGTCACAAAATTAGCACTAGAATAGTGTCTGAGATAAAAATCGTTTATGCTAATTACACTGTGAATTTTAATTCTCTAATACTCTGGGTAAGCAATTTGAGATGATTCCATTTCTTATTTTCCCTTTATTGAATCTGACAGCTCATAGATATTTCCTAGGACTGTTGATCCTTGAAGGGAATCTAGCAGATTTCCCAGGACTTTGACATGTTACTTGGTTCTTTGTCTTTTCTTTGTGTTTGTGATCTATAATTAATCATAGATTACTTCATTTTGTTTCATTTCATTTACAACATTTATGAGCCCCGCTTTGTCGGTATGAAACGCTTGTCCCCTCCTTTCCTTTCCAAAGTGGCATAATTAGTGTTAGCATCTTTTCTAACGGGCTACATAAAGTTTAGTGGCTGGATTAAATCAAGTTATTAACATAATATGCTACCCAATTTGCCCCTATCTTTCTTCGTTTCCCGGACATCAAAGTAGCACAGAGCGCAAGTGTAATTGGGCCTTGCTGGCCTGTCAGATCCCGTCAGCCTCATGGCTGCTGCTTTTACTGAAAAGCTTCTGGGCATGATAATTAATGGGGGGCGGGGGATGAAAGTCTGAGAAACGGAAAACTTTGGACATTTCTCTATGAATATTTTATTAATTTGAATAATCACAAGTTAACAGGATCAATTTGATGTATAATGCATTGATTAAAAGCCTTGTTTCAGTCCTCAAAATAGACATTAAATTCAAATTTGACTTTGCTATGGCATTTAAAAAAAAAATAACCAGCAGCCCTTCTTTTACGCTTTTTAAAATCTTATTTAAATGACACAGCTCTCGTTTTTCACAACACAATGTGTTGCCCCCAGTTTACAGATGTCTTACACTGAGCCCACAGGTGAGAGTGGGACATCCCAGGCCCTGGGCAGTGGGCTGTGCCGGGCAGAGCCCGTTTCATCGCATTCGCTTTATCAGTGGCTGCCAATGGCAGTTCTGTAAAAGCTGCCATATTCAATTGGACGAAATGGCACCTCCACCTGGAAACCGAGCTCTCTGAGCAAAGAGCGGGCATTCCCAGGTGACTGCGGTATGATGATCTGCAAAACACGGTTTAGGCTTCGACAAAGTGCAAAAAGCAATTCACAGGTTTTAGAATTTGACTATTAAAAACTATTAAATCACTCTACAATCAAATATGAAATGCTGTCATTGGGTAAAATAAGCACATCTCAATGCTTTGTACATGTGCTAGCTTGAGCCAGAGAAGAATAAACTGTTTTAAGCAAAACCAGCAATGTTGAATTGCTCTCCTGATAGTAGTTACTTTTAAAGCTTTTTTTTAAATGTTTTGCAACTTAATTATCTGTTACCAGTTTACCATGAACATCTTTCCATAGCAGTATTTCTTTTCTTTTTTTGTTTTTCAAGATTTTTTATTTTTATTGCAAAGTCAGATATACAGAGAGGAGGAGAGACAGAGGGGAGGAT